GAAGGTGTTAACAAAAGATGGTTTGAGATGAAATTCTTCCTCTTCATCATCATAAGCATCCTCATTATCTATTTTCGATTGTTGAATAAACTTCTGAGCATCAATTCCATATGTTCCCTCAATCATTTTGGTAAACTTTTCATAAGTAATAAATAATGGAAAATGGTCTTTTGTCAGAAGAGAGAAGGAGTTTGGGATATCATTTAGATCATTGTCTTCATCTTCTTCAATCATATTAATATCATCTAAGTCATTATCAAAATCTTCCTCTTTTCTTTTAGCGTATTCATAGAACTGAACTTCCGACATCTTTCTCTCAGCAAGTGCCGCAGACTTTTGCAGCCTTTTGAAGCATGCCTTTATCCGACGACATAGATGGTGGCTCACTGTGATGAAGACTTGCCTCTTGTGTATGATTGGCATCTCGCCGTATGTATAATATGAATTGTTAAGATAGGAGGCGATTAATCGATACATTATGCATGTTGTCTTGCCTGTACCTGCGAAAATCGATCAATAAGATGTTCACTTTTTCCTAATATGACGGTTAAAACTATACAACTAACCTGATCGACCAATTATGATAGCTGAGTTGTGATTATTGATGATATCATACTCTACCTCTGATACCTGAAAAGTGAAATCGGTTCTCTGCATTACCAATGGCTTAAGCAAGCGCTACAAACAATATTGTTTTACATTAATTGAAACAAGCTTCAATTTCAAAATCTTCATTATATTAACTACTATTTTACCTTTGATAATGGAATAAATTTACTAGCAACAAGCATTTTGTGGATTTCTAAAAGTATCTCATCATCTATTTGACAACTGCAAGGCTCTTTCTCAGTAGATTTAAGTTTTTCTTCATAGTTTTTTTGTAAAATTATGTCATCTCGGCCAATCTGTTGAATGTTACAACGGCATATTGTATATACTTGATGAAGCATCCCAAGATATTCTAGTAGCTTGTCAATACGTTCTTGGTTGGTAGTGATAGCCCAAACTTTCACGAGTTGCCTAAACGGATAGTTATTGATAAAAGGACTATAATCAACTTGCCAAAGGATCTTTAGACCGTTGTGATCATGAAGTTCCGTTTCGTATACATGGATTGAAAGAGATGGAATTATAAGTTTCAGCTCGAGCTTGTCCCAAGCACCAAAAGATATATTCCCGAGTTTTTTCAAGACAGCTTTAATCTTCAGCAAGTTCTGAGGTATTTCAAAATGAGCCATATCTTTTATTGCTTCTTCACTTATCAGGATATTCCAAGGCCCAAGTTTATCATCTTTGTCAAATTCAAATGGTAGGCGAAAGACGGTTCTATTAAAATTTGTTGGCTCTTCTCCCACGTATCTGTCAGGGGAAAAACGGAAGAGAGCTTGTTTCTGACAACTTAGGCATGGCGAAAATTTTATCAAAGCCTAATTGAAAGTATATAATGAAGAATTAATTTATTTTTTACAAACAAAAAAATAATCAAGCTTACTTGAAATGAATTTAATTTTTGTTGTTCAAGCGCGTGCATATAGTGAGGTACATCCGATGACTTTTTGGGCGCTGACATTCCCAACAGTGTGAAGTGTTGTTCATCGTTGTCACACAAACGTTCATTCAGGCGACTGAATTTATCTAACAATGCACTACAAGCTTTATATACAGATAATGCCTCAGACAGCCAAGGTGAAATATTCTTATGTTCCGAACATTCTTCCACAACAGCCGCAACCATATCTACTGCCTTCAATAATTTTCCTTTCTCTGTTATTCTATTATTTATTTTCAATTCAGATATGACACGTTTAAGACAATGACGACCATGAGACCCTGATACCAAAACTCTTAGGATACTGTCCGAATCCAGGATTTTGTCTAAAATATCTTTAGTCGTCTGAATAGTAATTTTATTATTCTGATACCAAAGAAGCTCAAGGCAGTGATCAAATAATTCTCCAAAACCTGGAATATCACATTGATGAAAGTTCTGCATAATTACATGATTAATTAAAAGAGAAGGAAATTTTTGAAACACTGTCGTATATTTCGTTAGCAAAGTGGAACCTCTTGAATACTCCAATAATTGGGAAAGGAAAGCATTCAAGATCGGTATATATAATTCGAAAGAGCAGCACGAAAGTTCCGACAATTCATTGATGAAATCTTCGAGCTCGTTACTCGATGCAGTGCAACATCTTTTCATCAAGACGTGCAGTTTCTTTTCGTCGTTTTCAGAGCCCGCAAGTTCTTCGAACAGTTCAATAAGAGAATTGTCTTCCATTAGGTATGAATTCTCGCTTTCTACTTTGAAAGATGATTTCCACTAATGATACATTAAATTTTATGCAGCAGCGCACATGTAAGTACGTTGTGTAACAATATTAAGCTAAAATGACACCTTTCCAGTCTACTGCTGCCGTGTAACAACGATTTACATATCTTTTTGTTTTAAACATGTAATGTTAATCTTTATGATATACTGTATAAGCCCGACTTACGTTTTCGATGCATCTTTGTTTTAGTCTCTAATAATTTTTCCAATAATTTCCCTAATAAACTTTTCTTTCCGATAATTTTGTAATAAAATATAAGATAACGAAACAATGTATATAGAGTAGTTGTGAAGAATCGAATAATGTGTTTTAAAGCTTAATTGTTCTTATATAATATCTTTAACCTACCAAATCCGTTATATCCAGAAAATGCATATATTATTTGGTTGATTTGATTAAACACTCTTTGAGTTTAAGGCTTTTAGGTATCATTACAAATTAGTTTATTTAAAAATTTCTTTCGAAAAAAGTAAAAATGAAAATAAAAAATATTAACAACCACAGATATACAGATATAGTTAATTTCTTTCATAACAATTTTTATTCTTACTAATAAGATTTATTTCTTTTACTGAATTAAAATATATGAATTTACTAATATTGAAAATTTTCAGATTTATTTTCAATATTAACACTCAAATTCTTATTAATATTAGAATTTTTACAAATATTATTAGATTCTTTCTGCATATATTATTATCATAGTAAGATAAATTTCTTTGATTTCATTAATTTGCAATTATAAATTTTGGTCTTTTGAAGATTTAGTGATCGAAACACATATAATTGATATGTTAATTATAGCAATTAACAATTTCAGAACTTATAAAATTAGTATATATATATATATATATATTATTCAAATCATAGTTTTTATTATCTTTATTTAATTATTTTTATCTATATATTATTCTTAATATATTTTATTTATCTTTAATTTTGTTTTGAATTATTTTGTATTTAGTTTTCTTTATTTGTTTTATATTTTTTTGCATTTTGCATTTTTTTATTAATCATATATTATTTTTATAAAAAATAATCTTTAAATATATTCTTATAAAGCTAAAGTAATAGCTTAAAAAAAATAAAATTTAGAGTAATACTTATTATATAATTAAAGAATATATAAATATAAGTATTTTAAGACTTGAAATAAATATATTTGAAATTCAAATCTAATTTTAATCAAATAATCAAATAATTAAATCTTTCTTATCTCCTAATTATTTATGAATTTTAATTTTAATAATTATTTTTATTTATATTTTTTAATTTTCTATTATATCTTTTATTTTAAATAATTATTTATTATAATTATAATTAAGTATTTTCTGATATAATATTAAATAAATAATTTAATTTATTAACTAAAAAGATTTTATCAACTTATCTAAATAATATAAATCCTATTTTTAATATTATTTACAAAATTAATCTCTGAACCAGTTCAAATATATTCAATATTTATATTAAATTACTAATAAATTTTGCTTAAATTATTAAAGTTATTCAAGAATTAATTCTAATTATTTAATATATATTCTTGTTTAAATTAAAGTTTTTATATATTTTTCTTAAAATAATAATATTTTAATAATTTTTAATTTTAATTTTTGTTTTAGTTTTTATAATTATATTTTTTTATTTATTTTTCTAAATATTTATTATATTAATATAAATTAATACAATCTTTATAAATATAAAATTATTTATTTATAATTATAAATAATTAATTTATAAAATAGAAGTAATATATTTATATAAAATAAAATAAATATGAAATAAATATAAATTAATAATTCTAAATATATATAGTTAAATATAATTAAAGAAATTAATAATTTTGTATCATATCTTTAAAAGCTAATTATACTTAATTTAATAATATATAAGTAATTAATAATATAATAAATAATAATAAAAGAAGAATAAATAAAATTATAAAGAAATAAATTAATTAAAAATATTAATTATTTAAATTAATAATTAAGAAATATATAATAATTATCTATATAATAATATATATAAATCAAAATTATTAAATATATAATGATTATTTATATATTTAAAATAAAATTAATTTTTAAATAAAGTAATACAAAATTAAAAATATAGTA